ATGGATTTTGGGGTAGGAAAATTTTTCTGATAAGGAAAATGAAATTTTCCATGTGTTATCCCCAAGAGCCACTCGTAAATTTTCTTTTATTCTACTTAACATCGATGTACTTTTTAACACTCTTCGAGGCTTGTATGCGAAAATGGGGCACCTAAATCGGTCACTATCTGACGGTCTATAAGCTACTTAAGCATTCAACTATTTCAGCAAAGAATACTTTTATTTAGTGAATTCTTTTTTGTAAAATTAACAAAACGCTTTCTTCACTTACTTATTGTTAAGCAAAAGTAATTCAATAATCATCTTTTATTCAATAATAAAAGGCATTTCTTTATAAGCTTGCCATAATTTACTAGAACATACTTATGTTACCAAAGCATTTTTTATAAGGTCTGGTTACTCTGATGACGACATATGTTACCAAAGCATATGTAGCTACATCTAATGAGGCACTTCTTTATTAGCTTACACTATAATAAAAAATAACAAAATAAAAACATACTAAAATTTCTAAAATTCAAATTCCGTTTAGAAATCTCCAAACTTAAATTAATTTTGACATATGACATTCAATAATAGGGTTACCACAGCACATTCTATCTAGTGTTGCTTGTGTCGAATTAAATGTGTTTTATCCTTTCATTGTATTGAATCTTAAACTAATTTTTTATTGATAAATTAAGTATATACCTGTAGGCAGCCTTTCCCTAGTCATGATTTGATTTATTGTAAGATAATTGCCTTTAGAGCTGCTGGCTATCAGAGTAGATGGCAATAGTTTTGCCTGATAGTTGCTGATTTATTATTTCTCTTGCACAGTGTTCTATGGCTCTTAGTTGAGCCTGAAAGACTGTTGCATATTCTCCTAGACTCAGAGAAATCGTTGTTTTCGACTCGGGTCAAAAGATCATAGCACCGGCTCCTTCCTTGGTTTTTGTACAGTATGTATACCGGAAGAGTTGGAAGATTCTGTTTCCAGGATTCTCGGCTGATATTTGCACTGCCTGCGCAGTTTTGGTTACCCACGCCACTGCAACATAGGTTATCATGGGTCTTATCGCCCTTGTGTTTAACGATATGGTCATTTTAGGGCTTAGGCCCCAGTTTTTCCCACATATTCTTCTACAGCTTACGAGACCTATTGCAGCTTTGAATGCGAGTATTTTGAGATGTTGATTCCACGTTAGCCTTTGGTCAAATATTACTCCAAGGTATTTGGATTCTATGACGAATGGAATAACCATGTTATTTAGTATTAGTGATCTTATTCCTGAAAGTAGCTTTTTTGTGAATAATAGATATAACTGTTATTTTTTGTGCATTAATGGACAATTGCTTCTTTTTGCACTAGTTGTTTAGTATGTTTAGAGCTATTTGAGATTGCTCCGAGACTGCGCTTGCAAATTGTCCCTGATGATAATTGCTAGGTCGTCTGCATATCCTTGATACTGGTAGCCTTCGTTGGACAATGTTTTGAGTAGGTCGTCCACTAGAACTGATCACAGCATTGGATATAATATTCTTCCTTGTGCGCAGCACTATGTAACTTTTGTCTCTATGGTTGCCTTTTCTAGAGTCAATACAATGATTCTATTCTCTAGTCTGGCAGTGATACATTGGCATATTGTGACTGAGGAATGTATCTGTTCTAGAGCCTTCGTTAATTGAGGCATTGTTGAAAGCTCCTTCGATGTCTAAGAAAGTGGCTATTGTGATTTCTTTCTTATCTATTGACTAGGTCAGTTCACTTTCCTGGCTAGTATGCATATTGGTTGGGATGGAGTGGATTTATTTTTAGTATCTATCAATTTTTCTAGCATTTTTATGGCGATATAACTTTGGCTTTGGTGTGTAACCTTACCTACTTTGGCAAGGTAGAATTTTTTCTGTTTTTGCCTTATTGCTGGGATATATCTCAAGGCAATGTATGCTTTAAATATTTCTCATAGATGTGGCATTAACACATACATACTTGCCTACTGGAGCAGAATTGGATATATTTCATCCGGCCCCGAGGATTTGTATGGCTTGAATTTGTTGATGGCCCAACTAATTCTGCGTGGTCTTCTGATATCGGAGGAACAGCTTCCAATCTATTATCCAGTCATAGTTAAGTATTTGTTTGCTGTGGTAGTGTCGGGACAACTTAAAATATCTCTATAATTATTAAAGTTTTTTCTATCTTCCTTTTCGAAAATTAGTACAAGCAGTGTCATTTTTCAGTTGTTGGGTATTTATTTCTTTTTTTATTTTAATGTACATTTTGAGCATTATATCTTTTTGCCCTATTTTCTTTATCATCACTGATGATATTTTATCATATCCTGATGCTTTTCCGTTTTTTAATTTTTTTATTAACAAAACAATCAAGATAGTTTACAGTGAAAAAGGTTATCCCAAAAAGTTTATAAATAATAATAAAAATATACAATTTTTAAAAAAAAACCAATGTAGCTTAGATCGATAAAGAAAACTTGACACGATATATGAACAAGTTTTCTATGCTGATATGTATTTTTTTGTTGTAACCCGTAAAATCTGCACGCCACTGTGTTTTAAGAAAATTCAGTCATAATTATAAAACTTTTATTTAAAACATTTTTTTTTAATAATACATAATTTTTAATACATATTTTCTAAAATATATTTTATTCCAGAACATTTTTAGAAGACGTATTTTATTTTAATAGACGACCTAATTGCAAATTAATAGATTTACGTAAGTGGGGCTATTCTAGTGCAGCTATTAGGTGATATAATAATGCCTTTTAATGGAATTTAAATTACTACTTCCATTTATTTCATAAAATTACAAAAATTCCTATTATTTTGTTACATATACCAGAGTGACATTTTAGCTAAGCATCTTTGTGAATTACCGATACCGATATTTCACAACAAGTGTTATTCCAAATATTTTTTTCATTGCCAATATTGAAAACAAATAGAAAGTCTTATGTATCGACCTCGATTAAAAAGGAATACAAAATATTTATTTCTACTTAAGAATAAGTTGTTACAAATTGTACATAATGATACCTAATACCTATTGTTGAGGTAGGTTGAAGGTAATCAAAACTACGTAATGTGATTAAACACAGTGTAACTTATTTTTCATATAATTACTGAGAGAACTCTCAAATTAACTTTAATATTAATTATGTTGCTGCAAAGCTAGTTATTAATATTAATACTCTACATTAGTGTGACGTAATTTGGGTTTTATTGGATATCAATTAACCTTTTTCAAAAACAAATCTTCTATTATTAATTTGACATGCGTTTTTTTTTATTAGTTTTCAGGTGGAAAAATATCTGTTATTCAACAAGCATAGCCGTTAAATGCGAGTAGTATACTATATTATCTCGTATAATTTTCTATTTGTTTCTTTATATATACTGATAATACTTCTAAGCATTGAATAAAGGTCTATAATGTCTAGAATTTATATTTTCCGAATAGGATTTTATGTTTTTTCCTTTATCCAATTTAAGCGAGATTCATACGCTGCCACATACAATTTTCTTGATTTTTATGGCAATAAATTCGGTAGCGTAAATTGAGCAGATTTTTTTCCTTCTGGGTAGCTATTCACCAAGTCATGAGAGCGCTCCCATGGGAGTGTTCCCATATATTTTGCTCTCTTACTCTTAGGTGGGTATATCGTGCTTACTCCGATCTAACTATGCATGTACCTGGGCTAAAAGTGAGTAAGCACGATATACCCACCTAAGAATAAGAGAGCAAAATATATGGGAACACTCCCATGGGAGCGCTCCCATAACTTAGTGAATAGCTATCCTGGTGGAGTGAAAGACAATTCATTTCTATTTTCTAAATTAATTTTTTAGTCAAATAATTCATAAATTATTTTCCAGTTAAAATTTGTATAAATAATTCGACTTTTAGAAGATAGTTAGTTGTTGCCTACCTTAAGTAACTTTTGAAGGATTGATTATTACAAAGAGAGAGATATTGTCACATACTTTGATTACTATACGAGGCAAGAGAGAGGTCCGACACGCCCAACATAGGTCGCGGCTATTTTGATTCCTATGACACAGTTTATAGCTAAAGAATCAGATCGCTCACTCTGCGTCGGTACTTTTGATCTCAATGTTCCAGTTTATACACTGCGCAACTCGGATAATTCAATATATGACAACCGCCTATAATAAAACAGCAATATTCTGCGTATCCTGAATTTGTATCCCTGGGGTGGATGTTATTTTGGAACTTTCAACTGGTCCGAGTGAGCTAACTGATTCTTTAGCAATAAATTGTGACTCCAAAAATAATATTCACTGACACTGACAGCAGCAAGCAAAATATCAGGTGCGTTTTAATCATCCGCTTCTGCTTCCGGAATTGTCGGTTTAGTCGTTTTAACCTGTCAGATTAAAACAAGAAAACCGACAATTCCGAAGCAGAAGCGGATGATTAAAACGCACCTATTAAAAATATTGCGCCAAGACGTAGGCAACACGTAATAAGGGATCAAAATGGAGGAGTTTTCTACACATACTTTGATTTTCTTTTACTATACGGAGAATGATCGCACTGCGCAGCTTTCTAAGTGCTTGCTGCTGTCAGTGTCAGTGAATATTATTTTTGAAGTCACAGTTTATTGCTAAAGAATCAGTTAGCTCACTCGGACCAGTTGAAAGTTCCAAAATAACATCCACTCCAGGGATACAAATTCAGGATACGCAGAAGACTGCTGTTTTATTATAGGCGGTTGTCATATATTGTATTATCCGAGTTGCACAGTGTATAAACTGAAACATTGAGATCCAAAGTGCCGACGCAGAGTGAGCGATCTGATTCTTTAGCTGTAAACTGTGTCACAGGTTCAAAATGGCCGCGCCCTATGTTGGGCGTGTCGGACCTCTCTCTTGCCTCGTATAGTAATCAAAGTATGTGAGTTTTCTATCTCCTTTTAAAAGGCACTCATAAAGCTGCGCAGTGCGGCCATTCTCCGTATAGTAAAAGAAAATCAAAGTATGTGCACTAGAAGAAAACAAAAAAAGTTGATTTCCAAATTAAAAATAAACGTAGATCAAATTAATAAACAATCAAAATGACTTTAGAAACTGTTCCAAAAGACTTGAGAGGTCTGCGTGCTTGTTTAGTATGCTCTTTAATAAAATCTTTCGATCAGTTTGAGAATGAAGGTTGCGATAATTGCGATGAATTCTTAAGAATGAAGAATAACCATGATAATGTCTACGATTGCACAAGCTCAAATTTTGATGGGATGATTTCTTTGATGATTCCAGAAGATAGCTGGGTGGCTAAATGGCAAAGAATTAACCGTTTCTGTAGAGGTGTATATGCGATATCTGTATCTGGCCGTTTGCCAAACAGTATAGTTCGTGAAATGAAGAGTCGTGGGATAGTTTATAAGAGCAGAGACACCAGTCAAAGATAATGTTATAATTCGATTTATGTGATGTGTGAGATAATTTGATTTGTGAGACAATTTCATTGAAATTAATTCCTTTTGTAATTTCTTTTTGGCTTGTGTTACTAATGCAATAGTTCTCCGCTTTATTGTAATATTATAAAATATAATTATTGTGCTCAAATTTCACACAAAAACAGCCACAACCATTTCGCTTAGTTCATCTAGAGAATAACACTATCATTAACTCAAAATTTAAATTCAGGATTCTTCGATATACCTAAAACTAACTTTTATTTTTAGAAACTGTCCGCAGCTGTCCACGTCTACTGTCTATCTCAGTGTTACCAACCGTACGATTTAAATCGTATTTGTACGATTTTTTAACTCTCTGTACGATGTACGATTGCATCAATGAGATCGTATGAAAAAATACGATCTTCTCTTTTTTAGTAGGTTTATTTAAATATCTGTAACAACTTCAGAACATAAAACAATAAAAATCAAAAACTACTTGCAAAGATTCATAGGCCGTTCGTAATTTCTGAAGGCAGTCATTTTTGTTCTCACTTATCATGATTTTGTACCAACACTGACTATAACGGCATAACAAAAGCTTGCATGCAAACATTTTTATAAATAGATAAATGATCATGCCAATTTTTTTTTATTTTTTCATTCCTATTAAGTTATGCTATACATGTACCTATTGTACGATTTTTTTTGTCGAAACACCATTTTTTTACTCTACTTGTACGATCTCTCAAAATAAATATTTGGCAACACTGGTCTGTCCTCAAACGACGTATACTTTTAGTTAACATCTGAGACACCCGTGTCTGAGACGCATACACGATGCCATTGTTGCTGCGTTCTTTGCGTTTACTATTTTTATGTCCCTAATCTCTGGTTTTGGAAATTTGAAAACTATATTTAAATACACATTGATTTGTTGGGGTTATTTACTTGATTTCGAAAAGGTTTACAGTTTACAAAAAAGAATTGAAGTACAAATAAAAATAACAGTTCTGCACGAGCTGCTGCTAGAATTTTCAATGAAACACACGATGGAGGTCATGCAACTCATAAATATGTAATTGATCTTAAGGTATGTTTATATCTGTCATTTATTGCATGAGATTTATGTTTGACAGTTGTTTAGTCCAGTGTAAACACACAAAAATTTCTCTCGGAGATATATGTTTGAGTGTATACACTGGACTAAACAACTGTCAGACATAAATCTCATGCAATAAATGTCAGATGTAAACGTACCTTTATGCATAAATTTACATCAACCGGTTCAGTTGGATATAAAAAACATATGCGACTGGGACTCGCAAATAACGAAGCAATCAAAGTCACAGGTTTAGGACAAGTAAGTCTCGAATATCAACAACCACAGCCACTGTTAGCAATAAGCAGAGAAGTATGTGTTTTATCTTCCACAGTTTTTCGAATAATACACAAGGACAAGTACCATACATACAAAATTAAATTGGTTCAAGAGTTGTACGAAGATGATTTTGATTGTGTCTTAAATTTTGTGAATTATTGAGTCAGCGCTTGACTGTCAATCCACATTTGTTGAACAACCTTTGTTTTTCGGATGAATGCACATTTTCAGTGAATGGTTTAAGGCGCGTTCTCACGGGTCAAGTTCAATTGACCAATTTTAGTTGATTAACAAAAGTTGAATACAACTTGAATCAATTGTTGTTCACACATTTTAGTATAAACTGAATCACTGTCAATGTAAAATGGCGTCGAATGCAAAAGAAGAATTGAAAAGAGTTGTTGATGTGAACAAAAGTTGTAAGAAACGTCGTTTTTGGGTGGACCAGTGGATTCTGAGAAGTAATAGATTAGCGAAGCATCAGAAACCTTGTTAAGAGAGCTGGCTCTAGAGGATAAAGAAGGGTATAGAAATCACTTACGAATTTTTAAAGAGAAATTCACGGAACTGCTCTCAAAAGTTCAGGATCGCGTAAAAAACAAGCAATCTTTTTAAGACTAAAGTTACAAAACATATTACACTATTTATCTATGTATTACACATTCGACAAAAGTTGTTTGTCTAGTTCACACGTTTCAAGACAAGCTTCAACTTGAATACAATTCATGATGACACATCACTTGAACGATAAAAGTTTGACTGGGTCAAACTTTTGTTGATCAACTAAAAAGTTGATCAACTCTATGTTCTCACAACAGTTTTTATTCAACTTTTGTTGATCAACTAACTTCGGTCAACTAAAATCGACTCGTGAGAACGCGTCTTTAGTCAATAGACATACATGTAGATTATTGTAGATATTGGGCTGAGAATAATCCTCATGTTATGCGTGAATGCCACACACAGAATCCTCAAAATTCAAATGTATGGTGTGGTATCCCAGGTGACCACATAGTCGGACCTTTCTTTTTAGACGGAAACTTAAATGGTGAATCGTATCTTGAGTTACTGAGAGAAGTAATTGATCCACTACTTACAACAATAACAGAAAATTATCATAACCTTTCGGATGATTTGCTTGTATTTCAACAGGATGGAGCACCACACTTAGCTTTTCCAGTACGACAATTTAAATGAAATTTTCCCCGCTCGTTGGATAGGTAGAAGAGGCTCGATGATGGTGTGGCCACTTAGATCACCGAATTTAACACCCCTAGACTTTTCTTTATGGAGTTATATGAAAATAAAAAATGAATGCCACCCAATTAGAATCTCTAGAAGATTTACGACAAAGACAAGAGTATGAATTTAAATGCAGACAACTAAATTATACCATTCTATGGAAGTAAATGGTGGTCATTTTGAACAATTTTTATAAAAAATGTTTTTTCATTGGGCGCAATAAAATCATTAACATAAAAGTTTTGCATATTTCATGGAATAAAACCTGATGTAGGATCTGGTGAGGCGAGTCATCGCTTTTGGCAGAAGGCGCTCGATACACTCCCACTGCTTTAAGCGAACATGGACTCCATCTCACCGCGATATATCTTCCATAAGTCACATAAAGTTATAATAGAACAAATAGAAGAGTCGGAAGTGGCAGGTACGATTCATATCTACACCGACGGTTCTAAAACAAAACAGGCTCAGGATGTGGAATATACTCCAGATTCTTAAACCTGAACATAAAATGGGCTGTGAGTAATAGTGCCAGTGTAGTTTAAACAGAGCTAACGAAGATTCTCATAGCAGCAAAAGAAATAACCATTAATAATGTGACTGGAAGGAACATGCTCATCTATACAGATAGCAGACAAGCACTACTCACCCTGAAAAGACCACGAATTTACAAGGGGTAAGTACTAGAATATCACGAAACTTTGGCCGAAGTATCCATCAACAATGTGGTCACCTTAAGATAGATCAAAGGTCACGCCACATTGAAAGCTGATTCACTAACCAAGAAAGCAGCCAACCAAATACTTTTTGGACCTGGCCTTTCTATTGGCCTGACAAAATTGGTAGTGATAGACCTAATTAAAAAACATTATCTTGTGAAATTCAATGAGAGATGGGATGAAGCAAGAAACTGCAGAGTTTCCAGCGAGCTCTTAAGTTATTCTGACAACACAGCAGCAAACAAATACTAGACAGAATTTGCGCCTAGTCACAGGCATTCTGACTGGTCATTGCTAAGTACGGAAGCATCTCCATATCATGGGGCTGTCAGAATCCGCACTCTGCAGAGGGTGCGAACAAGAAGATGAGACCATCGAGCATATCCTTTACGATTGCTCGACGCTCTCATTTATTAGAACACCGGCCGATATAAGAAAAGCACCTCTTGGCGACGTTGTCAACTATATTAAATCTGTAGGCTGGCTCACGAGCTAGGAGGTGCCTATCACCTTAGAAGGATGCACAATGGGCCTAATGAGGCCTAAGTGCCGTGGGGGTAACCCACCCTTCACACGTTACAGACACAGATACTTTAAACCTCATGTTTTATACATTTTTGAAATCAGTCAAACGAGAGGAATTCAAAAATAGATAAAAAAATGTGGGAAGCCATTTAAAAAAATTGTAGAGATGACAGCAACAGTAAAAGGGTGACTTTTTCAGCAAACCTATCTACACCTTCGAATATTAGTTGACGTATTTTTTTGTTTTTTATAATAAGCAGGCCCTCAAAAGTTACTTAAGGTGGATAAGTTTATCTAAAAAGCACTGTATATTGAAAGAGTAGTGAAAAAATAGTTAATAATTATTATTTTAAAACAAACGTAGTTTAAAGATATGTAGGTAACTAAATTATTTTTAATGTTTGAATTAATAGTATCTTAAAAACCGATAAGAGAATGCCTATAACCTCTTTTTTTATAAATCTAATCTCACAGTTATTATCAGTGGAACACAAATTACGTCATCACTAATATAACGTATACGTCGTTAAAAATGTAACAGTTCTAGCATATTCTCTTTTTCCATCTGTCAAAATAGTCAAATTTTGTTTTAGCTATAAATTCAGACGTATTCGTGGAAAAATTAAAATTTATTTAATAACATTTTAAGACTTTGGTAATAATATAACCTATAAAAGTAATGTTCATGAATGACTCAACTTTCGAATCATCTTTTTTGCCGATTATCTAAAATTATAATGTAAAATTGATAAGATTGTGAAAGACTTCAGAATAATCTAGGTATAATAAATAAATTGGTGTGTTGTAAATAAGTTATTTCTAAATATCAAAAAGCAATCCTATGCCATTTTGTAGGAAAAAATATCCAATTATTTTTTATTATAGCGCTGAACGCTGAACTGATGAACCAGCGATAAAAGATCTTGGAGATTACTTTAAATTTTCCCAACAAATTATAAAAAAAATAGTTCAAACTATTAATCGTTTAGAATAGACTTGATTGTGCCTTATATTTATGATTCCCATCGTGTACAAAAATTGGTTCCTGCACTTAGGTAGTTGTTGGTGAGCTTGCGGAGTATAAACGACAGATTTTTGCCGTGTTGCCACTAGTTTAAATGGTATAGATAAAGTATATTCAATCAATTAAAATAATTAAACATTAAATGTGTACTACAATATTTTTTAACTGGTCTCGATGAGACTTGTTTCGGCCATCATGGCCATTATCAGGCATAATAGGTAAAGTTGTTACACTACTAATTTGGATACCATGATATGTTATTGAAAGTCATGAACGACATGTAATATCTTCGGTTTATAAGCAAAACACAATAAGTCAGATTTTTTATTTTTGACTTATTTACATCATTATACTGGATTTTTCCATTCTATATACTGGCAAAATTCACTATGTCCTCTAAGAATTATAACATTATTTTACAATTATTTTTATATTCATTAAGTCCATAATAGCATCAGTTTGTTTAGAAAAAATACATTAAGTGACTTCATGGATTTTTATTCAAATCTGACTTAGTGTGTTTTGCTTGTAAACCGACATAAAAATTGAATTTAACTTAACAAACTGGTTAAAAAACAGATGTAGTATTAAAAACACACTAATAATCGGGGACTAAAAAATACTAAAATGAATTTTAAAATAATAATTAATTGAGCCACATTGTAGAAAGTAATTCTTGTGAGAGTGGTTTTGAGATCTTCTTAAAACCACTTTGGTGTACCTATAGACTGCTATATTGAATTCGTTTGACAGGACATGTCTAATTGTTAAGAATATTTACAGATAGAAAGTAGCTTATTTATAAATATCAAAGTTTAATTCCTATTTCTATTATTCTTTCAGGAATCCTGCCCGACGCTATCAGAACCAACTGTAGACGATGCACGGAAAAACAAAAATCAGTCACAATCCGAGCTGTCAAGCGACTGATGAAGGAGTATCCCAAAACGTGGATGCAATTAGCCAAAGCCTGGGATCCCAAAGACATATACGTCAAGAAATTCATCTCGACCTACAGCAGCTGGGAGTACGAGCCCGTCACCACCCCCAAAAATATCTTCGCCAACAGATTCGATGACGGAGACGACGAAAATAATCCTAACAAATTATACAGCAACAACTCTAATAACATCCTATTTAACATTCCTCCCTTACCCACCATACCTCCTAAGGTGTTGGATCGGGTTGAACCATTTGCTAACGGCATTGGTGCTGGTTTCACAGCTACAGTAAGTATTGGGAACAGGATATTTGACAACGTTGTAAGGGGGATTAGTGCTGTAGGGAATAGGGTGATTGAGACTGGAGCTGAGATTGCCGATGTCGTGGCTAAGAGTTTGTCGAGACCACTTTAATTATTTTCATTCGTTAAGTATGTTTACTTGCATTTTATGTGGCATCACTGTAATTTAAAACGGTACATATTCATGCTGGAGTTTCAAATCTAGTAACTTTTCAAACAACCAATTTTCTATCTCTCTCTTATCACCCTACTGGGTTGACTGCAACGAGTACCCTCTGTCATTATCGCTTTAAACAACTGTCACCGAGTCAAGGTGGGTGTATCTCCATAATAAAAGCCAAATCAAATTTTAAACACAAGTACTTCCCATCAAACGCAAAAACAAATTAACATCCATATACAGTGCTGCTACGATTATCTCTAAACATGGAAAAATTAAATCAACTGTTATCTGCTTAGCATACCAACAATAATAACTATAGGTACTCCTTCAATGATCGCTGCAGAGACATGCTGTAGATACAAGCAGCAGAGGCAAGAAAGAGGCAAAGACACTACCGTTCTAATGAAAGTAAATAGCCGCGTCCACATTGAGCGAATTGCCTCGCGAAAAAAGTGCTCACTTCATTTTAGGACGTGCTGCCTCACCCGAGGCGGCCTCGCCCCGAGCCGAATGCTGTCGGTAACGTGGACGTGCTCAAAAGAGTTTCAGTTCAGAAATATGAATTTGCCTCGCATAATAAAGGAACTTGGGTTGCCACGCGAAGCAAACTAAGCCTTGAATTTTTTTCTGGAACCAAATTTAACCGAGGTAGGCTCGCGAGGTAAAAGCCCGAGGCTGCCTCGCGAGGCAATTCGCTCAATGTGGACGCGGCTAATGAGTTGCCGTTCAATGCAGAGGCAGCGCAGGAAATAGAAGCAACTAGCTTAATAAATATCTTACCTTGCCTTGCCTTGGTCGCTTAGACGCGCAACTGCTTCAGTACCAGTATTGCGGCAGTCTGTGGATTGCGGCAGTCGTCGATGTAATGCTAGTTGGCATTTAATTTACTTGCAGTTACAGTCTGTCTTTGTAGCAACCATCGGACGAGTACCTTAACAGCGCACCACGCACATTCTTCATCAATAACAAATCATCGGTGAGGGTGAGGTTTCACAGTCTTACGGAGAACCGCTGATAATCAGTTTGACTTAACTTCCTATATGTTTGCAAGCTAACCGTAGCAGGTCTGTATAAGCTCTTCTTAGTGCTATCTTGTTTACCCTTACTGAGTTAGTCCTTCCATTTGTTTAAAATTGCGGTCAAAATGTCGCCAAAGTAAAAAACAAAATTGTGTCAATAGATTATATTGGATAGGAATAGGAATTTTGAATTTACGAAAGAGCTATATTTAAGAGAACTCGATACGTCTCCACTGCTTCAAGTGAACATGGACTCCATTTCACCGAGCTATATCTTCCATAAGCCTATAAAGTTGAAACATAACAAATAGAAGAGTTGGAAGCGGCAGGTATGATTCACATCTAGCATATAGACTGACGGTTCCAAAACAAAACAAGGCTCAACATGTGGAATGTACTCCAGAACCTTAAACCTACACATAAAATGGGCTATGAACAATAGTGCCAGTGTACAAAAGAAGTTGCCAGAAACAATATCACTGGAAGGAATATGCTTATATATACAGTTAACAGACAAGCACTACTCATTTCGAACAGACCACGAAGTTACTCAAGGTTAGTACTAGAATGTCACGAAGCTTTGGCCGAAGTATCCGTCATATTCCGTACTCTGCAGGGGTACGAACAAGAAGATAGAACCATGAAGCATATCCTCTACGATTGCCCGATGCTCTCATTCATAATAAGATTTGTGAGCAACGAGTATTGGCAAATACCAGCTGATATAATAGAATTATCCTCTTGGCAACGTTGTTAGTTAACCTAGCCTAACCTTAGGCTGGCTCTCGAACTAGGAGGTATGTACCTATCAACTTAGGTCGGTACACAATGGACCTAGTGAGGCTTAAGTACCGTGGAGTAACCCACCCATTCACACGTTACAGATACAGGTGTTCCTTGAATCATTGTTTCTTAATTATGTTCCTGTTATTAACTAGAAAACAGCCTGTAGGTCCTCAAAAAATCTTTCATAATAGCTCTTTCACTACCAAATTAAATATTAAATCAATGCATAATAATGTACTTCAGCTAGCTGAGAGAGTTACTAAATATGACGTCAGTTCATACCTAATATTACTACCCTTTTGTACTTAAATTCCTAGAATAACTTGCCAAATCAATCGGAAATAAAGTAAACGAAGATTTTCAGGGATTATTTTAAAATTATGCATTTCAAGGGGCATCACTATAAATTGCAGTGATTGAAAGATGGTACTTTCAGAAAATAAGCTGCTATTTAAGCTATGTCATTATACCAATGCTAGCAAGCATTAGTTTAATAAAAACTCTAATCAAATCGAGTTCAGCTCTAATCTTATTTTGTTAACTACCTATGTAGTTTTTATGTTATTGTAAGTGAAATGTATATAAAAGATGATAAAACAGTTGTGGCCACCAGATGAATTTCCTGTGTCTATCACTGATACTAAATAAATACCTGCATAATTAAAAAAAAAAACTAATAATACAGTCTCAACAAGTATCCATACTTACCACGATACACGTGCAATGACTATGTGATTCTTCTTGAAAAGTCAGTAAATTAGATGCTGCGTTTGTTTATCCACATTGGCTGCATCTGAGATGTTGTAATCTTTGATCACGTGCTTCAAGATACGTAAATGTAGTAGGACAGATGTGTCCGATGTGGATAAACAACCGCTCGAGATGTAAACAAATGCATCGGATGTAGATATTTAAACGAAGCAAGAATTTGTATGCTCATTTTTATGTCTGAAATGATGGTTTTATATCGGATCTAGACAATCAATTTTACAGTGATGCCATATATAGTTACCCATCAAACTCTAACAGCCGTATGCATAGTCGATCGCCAGCGACTCGCCAGAGATTCATTTCGGCGTATCGCCAGCGATTCGCTGGCGATCCGCCAACGAAAGCCCAAAAAGCTGGCGACTCGCCGGAGATTGTCACCGGAATGTCATTTCACGCAAGTTTTTATTTTCTTTTATAGGGATTATCACCGGTATCTCTCGCATTTTATTCATGATTAATTTCGTAAAACTCAAAATAATGAACGAATATCAAATTTTTCCCTATAAAAGAACATAAAAACTTGCGTGAAATGACATTCCGGTGACAATCTCCGGCGAGTCGCCAGCTTTTTGGGCTTTCGCCGGCGGATCGCCAGCGAATCGCTGTCGATACGCCGAAATGAATCTCTGGCGAGTCGCTGGCGGTCGACTATGCATACGGCTTTAAAAATTGCCTATATTTATGACTCAGTTCAACTATGATGTAGCTCAATCGCTCTATTATTTATGATTTAATTATAAAACAAAGTAGAGATATCACAATTTTTTGTGATATACAAGAAATAAAGCTAGAAAATAACATAACCTAACCTTAAATTAGGTTAATTTATTATCGAATTGCATTTTGCTAAAAGTACCTAAATGCTTTCTAATCTAGAAGATATTTAAACATTAGAAGATAAGTAAATATTTCCCAGTTATAGGAATTTAATACTTAGGTAATTTTAATATTTAGTAGGTGCTTGGAAGTTTAAATCTTTTACTTGAATCATGTGCTTCTTCAATTTCATTATTAATACCTGTGGGAACTTCTAAAATCGCATTTGGTTCCTCTAAACAGGGTGAAATATAATACAGTCCAAATGTTTCAAGGTCAGAGGGAACAAAATAATAATACTTAACAACAACTTGACTATTAATTTTTCAAAAAAAAAAAAAGAAAATATAACTATAGTACGAACTAATAGTTTTTTTTTATAATATTCTACTTCTTTTGCATTTTATTATAATTCAACTTTTCTATTTTATCGCGACGTTGCCAAATATCTTTACGGCCATAGATCAAAAAATTCCTTAAAAATTGTCGTATTGACTAGGAAAATTACAATTACTTAAGACAAAAATATCCTGTATCGCATGATATTTAAGATTGATGCGGTGTTGCCAAATTATGTTATATTTTATTTTTTATTAATTGAGACACATTTTTTAACAATTTGGACAGCATGTAGCATATAATTTAGAGTGAAACAATATGTAAAAATTCACTCGAATTTCGAATATAATTAAAGAAGTATATATAAAAAAATATTGAAAATATTAAAGGAAAACTTAAAAAATAGATCAAATAACTTAACCTTATATTGAATATTACTAATAATATTATATAACTCGGTTTTTAAATAATTGCACTGTATTACGCTACGCCCTATATACTTATACCATAGTGAAATTTAACAATTACAATTTTTTTACAGATAACTTGTTGACATCCATTTTCATTTCTCTAAACCTGCAAGCTTTTCAAACATATTCTCTGCTTTTAGATAAAGATGGTGAAGACGTTCGAGAAATCGCTTTGGCAAATGGCTGGACAAAAATTTAGGATACTTAACAGGATTCTCGGCGGCTGACGCCAAATCCTTAAAAAGACGACCAGACAAAACACGAACACGATCAGACAGACGATCAAACATCGCATAACTAAAAGAAGCTCTCATCTCAAATCGCTTATTAGTTCAATCAGGAGTGCCATCCATATTTTTCAATAATACTTTTTAGATTTTAGATTTGGCTAATTTTTTTCAGTCAGTTATTTATTAAAATTGTCTGTCAAAATAAGCCACTTGTAGAATAGCTAAATGCCAATTTCATATTAAAGTTGGGGGTTATTTAAACGATTTATGAAAACTTTAGTATGGAATATTTAATTGCATGCAAACTGCAGGACTGCTTTAATATCATGCTACGTCAGTTATCATGTCATATGTCATTCTCATATCAAAACAGATACTAACTGTAGCTATGATTTTCATGGTTATTTTACTAAAAGTTCCTATTTTTAATATTGTTCAATGCACATGTCTCAGGAATCAGAAGAAATATCTAAAAACATATGAATATTGACAGCATTTCATGAAATTGTATTATCTCAAAAATAACAGATTTCTGTATACTGTCCAATAGAACTTTTGAGTAATTTTCTCAAGACTTATATAAAGTGACTTTTTTAATCTTAAACTATATCATTTTAATTATATTAATAATTTAAATATTTTATAATGTTTTGTTATTGATTCAAATAAGTTTGAACCTTTTATTATTATAAAGAAATGTCAATTATTTTAAAGAAGTAGGTGATAATTTTACTACAAGTACCTACTGTTTTAAATTAAGAAATTAGGTTAGTCCTAAATTAATGATTGTGATATGTGATTTATTAAATAATTATATTTTTTAACCTTTTTTTTATTTACAAACACCACTATATTCAGAAACGCCTGGCGCTGTTCACCAAAAATGTTTAAAACCTCAACAACCAGATGCATCTTTTTTCTTTTTAGTTTTGAACATTGTCTGCCTTTGATGGTTTTTTTTAGGTATTTGTACGTGCTGGGTCTCCTACATTATACAGGTACGAAAATTCAAACGCGGACCATCTAAGCCAAATCTTTTAGAGACAAACGTAAGTGAAACAGAGGTAGAAGTTGTACGTACCATGCGCCAGGAGCTCCGCGTTGCTCAGCATTTTCTTAGCACTAAAATTTCCTGCCTAACGGGAAATTTTCACCCAAATGGCAACACTGCGCGCACTGAGGAAAACACTTTACTGAAACAAAAACGGAAGTAAATACTCCAAATTTTAAATTTAAACGTTAATCTATCCTGCAGTGAAAAAATCAAATTTTGGGCATAGTTAGACCACAGCTTATACAATACAGCTCCACAACTCCGTGTCGGCGTCTTTGATCTGGCGGTCGAGAACCAAGCAAGACGGAATGGTGCTATCTCTGTTAGATTCGAGGGAAAAGTCGGGCCCGGATTAAACAATTTTTTTATTATTGAAAAAATTGAAAACCTTGGCGTAATAAGGTTGGTTACATGCCATATTAAGTAAGTTTTGGGAAATTAAATTCTTAATTTGTTTTAAATCTGTCAAATATAATTAGAAACATTATTTAAATATAAATATTACGAAAAATAGCACATCTTTCGGATTAGAGGTAAAATAATTTGTATGTGGCTAGTAAAATCCTCGTTAACAAATGTTTTGAGCTAAAACAGTCACTTCACGACAAATTGTGGCTTGAATCCTTTTTACACCAACGGCTTCAATTGTTAAAGAATTGTGTCACGCTCGTGGATGCAAATCAAGTGGTACCCCGTGTCTCTGGCAAGTGTTACTCTTCGCGCAAACGGTTTATACCTAGATAAACGAATGCTTCGACTGAGGTCTGGGTACTCTATGGTATTTTGGAATTATAAAGAATTTGTGCTTTTATTTTAACAATATTGGTTATATTTAGATGTATTCTTATTAATTGAAATACAGATTTGTAGAAGTAATACTTTGACAGTTTTTATTAATATAATATATTCAATTTTTATCTGACCATACCGAAGTAGGGAATTTTGAAACTTTATAGTAATGTGAAATTTGAATTACAATACTACACGATATTACATAATTAGTACTTATTTTAGGTAGGTACTAAATTTGTACTTGGAGAAAGTAATATCGATTTTTACAAGAAAACTTGAAAAGTAAATTAATTAAGTTCCTATTTCTGATGTAAAACTTGAGTTTTGGTTTAAACCAAGAAAACAAATAAATTATAGTTTGTTCAACAAGGGTGGATATGATAGCAATATCACACAAAGACGAAGTTTGAGCACGACGTCGTATGCGGAGTACTCAATCGTCTGATTGTGATATGAAAAATCCACTCGATATGGTCAGTATATTTTTTCTACGACCCACTAACGAAAATCTACAAATTTAAAAAATTATTTTAGGTTATTTAGACAAAATAACTAATTTTAAAATAATTTACGAAGTTGACTAATTTATAAAATAAAATTAACATGAAAAATTAATTAGTCCTCGGCCTAGATTCGATCCCGGGCTTTTCGCGTGGAAGGCAGATGCTCTGTCCTCATCTTCACCGAAACTTTCAGGACTTTAGTTTTAATACTCGTAATTAAATTAGTATCATGTAGTTTGATTAAAATTTATTTTTTTTTAAATGTGGACACAATAAAAACAAAAATGCTATTATTTATCGAGTCTACACAAAAATTTTAATGTATATTTAATATCAATAACTAAAATATATATTGACAATTAGTTTAACAGAATTGTCACTTATTTAAAAAAATTTAAATAATAGGAGTTGGGTGACCAAAATATGAACTGTGATTTGTAGATTTAATTTTGTTAAAGTGTTCTCACTACCTAAAATGAATATGAAATATATTCGTAGTTGAACGCAATAACATACTTTTTCGTTTTGTAGTATTTGCATAGATTGGCTAATATCCATGCACAGATTACAAAACGAAAAAGTATGCTATTGCCTTCAATTGAACGAATATATTTCATATCCATTCTAGGTAGTGAGAACACGGCAAAAAAAAATAAATTCGCCAATCACCGTTCATATTTTGATCAACCGACTGCTATTATTTTTAAAATTATAAATAAATGACAATTCTGTCAAACTAATTGTCAGTATATTTTTTAGTTATTGAGATTAAACATACAATAAAATAAGTTATTCTTTTGGAAAACGTTAGCATGGATTACTAGAGGGTATTGGGTTAATTAATTCTAAAAGTGTGGTACAAATGTTATTTTTTGTAGCCAATTCTTCAAAATTATTTTGAAATATCTTTTCAATATTGAATATTAGTTCTACAAATTCATCATTTGACAGTTGCAGATTTCCAAATGTATCTGGATTGGCGTTATCATATGCCTTTAAAAAGCAATAAAAAGAAAAATCATCTAATTCAACGTGATCTTTGTTATATTTAAGACAGGTATCGCAGAGGAGTGGATCCGCAAGGCTTTTATTAAAAGGTAACCACACACATACCTGATAAAATTTTTCTGTATCAATTCGTCTTTACAATAATTTAGGGAGTTAATAATTTTATCATAAAATAAAATACAAGGTGTTCCATTTAAAAAAACATACATTTTAATTTGCCAGGCAAAAACGTGACACCCTGTATATCCAAAGATATTTTTAAAATATGTAGGTATTTTTCAAATCCATATAACTTTTATTTAAAACTTTCTTGCGTGTCTACAACAAAATAATGAACAATAACGCACTAATGGGATACCCTGTATAAATTATATTTTTAACAATGAAAATTTCTTATAATGTGGTACTTATCGGTTTGGGTCCTTGGGAAAACTAAAGAATGTTTTCTTGCAGGTATAACCCTTATTGAAACAGCTTTTGACTGCACAAACAGAATGATGTCTTTTTTTTTACTCATTCTACTCATAGCTAAAGAGTCACCAAAATAATAACAGTACCTTTAACTCAAACAAAATCAACGAAATTATAGGCTCCACGAAATTAAACAATCAACGAAATTATAGGCTCCACGAAATTATACAATCAACGAAATTATACGCACGACTCAACACCTTACCTAAGTACGCTTCTGAACACCAAAACCGTCTTTTCCCTTCGAAGGCGTAGCTTAAGCGATGCGCGACGAAATCGACGCAAACCGTTGCCGCCAAGAGAGTGTTTTAGCTGTATTGTATAAGCTGTGGTTAGACCTTTATAGGTGGTAGGTTTTCTACTTTACGAATAATATTCGTTATTTGCGCTTGGGGAATGGATAATTAAAAATGTTCAGTATTTTAGTTGGCAATGAATATATATTATAATTTTACTAAATTCGGTAAACATTTTTGGTGTTATAAAATACATCTATTCTTTAATGTTTTTTAACCTTTAATTGGCATGCTGGGGTCTCGCGTGACCCCAAGCATTTAGAATCGTTTATTTTGGCAACATCGCCTTACGCGTTTCAATAGCTGTTCTCAGTAACTTGCTTTAGTTGATCCTTAAAAGCGGTACCGGTATCATCTCACGTTTTCGAGATATTTACGTTTGAGGTCCAGTATACCAGTTACGTGTTTTTTTTTTTTAGTTTGGCAATGGCGAATAAATATTGAACAGAGCAACAATTAGAGACATTAACCGCAAACCTAAGTGACATAGAGGAACCTACGGAACCTATTGACAATTTTTGTGGTGAATCCGACGAGGATATTAGTGATGCGTCAACTGAACAAAGTGATCATGACTCTGCGCCTGAAGTCGAATATTTCAAGAGCGAAGATGATAATGGTGTTGCAGGTGGAAGCGAGGCAAGTAAAAGTCAAGATACAACCAGTTATTATTACGGAAAGAATCGTTACAAGTGGTCTAAACAGGCACCAAAGAAAATTTTCTGAACTCCAGCTCACAATTTGGTAACACACTTACCTGAAATAAAGGAGCCAGCTCAGAAAACAAAACCTTCCACACCATACGAATCTTGGAAGCTGCTCTTTACTGATGACATTTTACAAATTATCTAAGAACACACAAACACCAAAATAACTGAGTTGGCTGTAAAATATGAAGGTAACCGCGTCTCCTATGTCGACCATCTAGAACTTAAAGCGATTCTAGAACTTATTTATTTAGTATCGATATTTAAATCTGGGCGAGAAGACGTGACGTCCCTGTTCTCGACAGATGGTACTGGTAGACCAATTTTCCGAGCCACAATGTCGCAAAAACGTTTTCTATTTCTTCTAAGTGCATTTAGATTTGATGACGCTACCAATCGCAAGGACAGAAATGCTGCTGGTGATAAATTGGCTACAGTTTTAGAAATTTTTGGAATATTCATAAAAGACTGTTAAGTAAATTATTTATGCTCGCAGTATGCTACTGTCGATGAGATTTTAGTAGCATTCCGAGAAAGATGTAGCTTTTGTATGTATATGAAAAGCAAACCTGCTAAATATGGCTTAAAAATAATTTATTATAGGCTTTCGGGTACTCTGGAAAAAATGTCGCAAGGCAATACAAAAAAATTCAGCGTACCCACCCTTGATGTACTAAAATTGGTATCACCAATTGAAAATACTAACAGTAACGTAACTGTAGATAAATGATTTACATCCATTGAGGTAATAAATGAATTAAAAGCTCGAAAGCTCACTTATGTTGGAACATTTAGAAAAAACAAAAAGGGAGATACCAGCTTAATTTTTGCCAAACAAAAATCGAAAAGTAGGTACCGCAGTATTTAGTTTTACTGGAGATCATCGCTA